GAGGCGGGAAGGACGAGTGGTAGAGCCGTTGTCCTCTAATCATGGCGGTTCGATTCCCTCCACAGTTGAAGTGTCCTTGGGCAAGACATTGAACCTGAAGTTGCTCCCAGTGGCAGCAGCACCTTGCATGGCAGCTCTGTGGCCGTTGGTGTATGAATGATTGTGTGAAAGGACGTCACGCATTCATACAAAGCCTTGGATAGAAGTGCCATTTACCATTTAGGAGGCCGACGGAGGCCTTATGAGAGAAAGATGGAGCCGAAGTTGTCCGTCAGGTCGCTCAGAGTTTAATCTGGGCTCAGCGGGAACTTCTGATTTCTTTATCGAAGCGCTTCTCACAGATACAGGATGGAGAAGAAGAAAAGGGGAGCGAAGGATTTGTGGCTGAAGGAAGACAAAGGCGGTAATAAGCCGGACACATGAGAGGCTTCAGAGGCGGCGGCGTCCCCGGAGGGATGGAGGGACGGAGGGATGGAGGGACGAAGGGATGGAGGGATGGAGGGCTTCCTGCTTCCTCCAGCTGCAGCTCCAGAGGCCTCTCTAGCCCTCACCTCTCTGTTTACTCGCCTGCCTCCATAATGCACGGATTAATTTCTCAAAGCCGATTGCGAGCCGCGGCACGCTCCGGCGGAGAACCTTAGAGCTGGGGGGAAGTTTCCCCTTCACACCGGCTTAGAGGTGCACGGCTCCGCTCGGCGCCTTAATCTCCACGCGGAGCAGCGGAGTCCCCGACGTCGTCTTCTGTTCCTCCTGCTCTTCTCTGGTTTCCCACATCTCATTTCACCTCCAGCTTGTTGTTGCATTCAGACGACGTCTTCGCACGTTTTTGCTCAACCAGCAGCAAATCTGTTCTCTTTTATAATTGCATTAAACATCAGGAGCTAATCCTCAACCTGCAAATTATCAGCCATTATTTTAATCTTTTAGGATTCCTCGTCCTTAAAATCTGATTTTTTTCACATCAGTAGTTTAAAAAAACACATATATTTGATTTAAACAGAGAAAATCAGTAAATGGTGGAAAAGAAATCTGCAGCAACATGAACATATTTAATGATTTTCATGAAGAACACATCTGAGTTCTGGTAGAAACTGACACCAGATCAGTTTCACATGCATCCAGGTGTCTCAGTCTGAAGAATTAATGTGATTTTTGTTATGCGTGAGCTTTTTTTCTATAATATTTGAGTCATTTTGATGCTTTTCATGTCATTTTAAACACAATTTTAGTAATTTTGGACAAATTTTAAAGCACTGTGGAGACATCTTGATGCAAAAGCAAAAGTTTTCCGTCACTGATGAGCAGTGTTCATGTTTTATGGTGTTTTTATAAAAACATCGCTGCTGCATTCATGCTTCTAAAGTCTAAACTTCTTCATAAAGTTCTTTATATGATGCATCATTTTCTACGACTTCTCGTGAGCTCTGTTCTGTTTTCAGCTTCGTGACGGAGAATTTTCCAGCTAATCTTGGCGAGAAAGTTAGCAAACAGTTAGTTGAGCTTCAGAAGGAACATTTAATCCTCCAGTTTGTCTCAAACATCCGAAATCATAGAATCAGACGAAGGGAATGAAAATCAGAATTTGACGTCACGTTAAACCGAGAAAACTGGAGTGAAGTTTGCACCTGTAGTCAGCTTCTCTGCTCCTGTGAAGACTTTACTTGTGTCTGAAGCCACATTTTGCATTTTGTAAAACACGATTTGCATCAGTCTCCTGGAAGGCTCGCCGCCTCGGCCTCATTTACAGCGAATAAACAGCCAAATCTGATTGAAGATTTACTCTCAGGCCGTGAGAAGCCTGACGATAAGGCGGCGACGCAGGAGCTCCGTCGGCTGCGGGGCTGTTGTTTGCACGCTCAGACATCACACCCCCGCTAATGGCGTCTGTTAAACCGGGCTGCAGGAGAATCGGAGGCAGATAGTCGCTGATCAGAGCTGCTGTGACGCCTCGCGACCTCGGAGCAGCAGGAGTCGAGTCTGGTGGGACGGGTCACATGATTCAGATCCGAGTTCTTCTCATCTCCTGAACTGGTTTCAGTTTGGTCGATAAAATGGTGAAGAATGAGGATCAATGTTTCCTCGTGTGTCTTGTTTTGTCCAATCTGAGAATTTGGCCTTTTTTCTCTCTTAATTATTTAAATTAATCAAAATATTCAGTGATTCATTTAATCGATGACAGCGAGTCAGGTCATCGATTAACCATCTGGACCTGAAAACGTTTCCCCCCAAACACGACTGCAACGCATTGTTGACGTTTTCTAGAATAATCGATCAGTAAACGGTGAAACATGAGGATCAGAGGTTCCTCAAATAGTCCAGAGATGTTCAGCTTTCTGTCACAGAGGAACGAAACCAGGAAATATTCACAACTCAGAATCAAATTATTTGGGCCTTTCTTGAAAAGCAATAATTCGGATTCATGAATTTATTATCAAGCTAATCGGTTCTCTTTACAAAACCACCCAAACTACGTCCTTTGTCCTGCTAGAAAGCCGTAAAAACAGAAAGATTTGACAGATTGTCAATTTTCCCACAGTCCCTGAATGTGTCGTGTGACGCACAGCCAGAAATAAGCTTCAAAATTTGGTATTTCATCAAAAACACTTTATTCTACGTCTCGTTAAAAAAAAGAATAAAAAAATTCTGCACTCCTTTATGCAGCTGTGAAGACATTATTCACTCAGCTGTGACCAACAGTCAGGTGACAAAAATTCTGAGAGTTTTCAGGCTGAACAGCAGGCTGAGAGAAGAATCCATCTTACTCGTGTTGATGTGCAGAGCAGAGAGAAAACATCTGGACAGGATGAAAAAATTCAAATATTTATATTCAAAGTGACTCAAAATGTGCACGAAGTGACACAAACTTATCGAAAATCATCCAAAATGATCCAAAGTGACTCCAAATCTGTCCAAAATGAATGAACTAATTATACAAAATGACAACAGAATTAATCACAGAGGAAAATCCAACCTCGTGGATCAATGAATAGATGCAGCACGGATCAGAACCAGAGAACAGAGGAGCCAGTTGGTGGAGATACATCCAGCATGATGGAACATCTTTC